ACAGTGGCAGAGACAGCTAGCTGCCCCACATTCCATTCACCGCTTCCTCTTTGGAAAGAGGGGCTTTATAAGACCCCATGACCACCAGGTAAAGGCTGCCCTTCCCAGCCTCCCTTGCAGCTAGGCCATGTAACCAACTTCTAGCCAAAGGGAGGTAAGCAGATGCGATTTGTGCAACTGGGTAACATCCTTAAAGGAAAGCACTGTGCCTGCCTCCCCTCGCGCACCCCCCCCCCATGCCCCCTGGCTGGAATGCAGCTGTGGTGACAGACAGCTCTGACTTGATGTCTGGATGTCAGAGTATCAAGGGAGAAGGAGCCTGGGCTGCTGACAACTCCATAGAAAGCCGCCACCACTCAGGATTTAATAAGAAAGACAAACAAACGTCTAAGTCAGGAATGTCTGGTGCACGTGGCCAAACCTCTAATCTGAGGCCACTTGTGAGTTGTTCTGGGAAGACTTTCATGGGCCCTGGTCCTTGAGGGCTTCATCCTGACATGCTTCCCATTTCTGACTCAGACTCTGATGATGCCTCCGTCCCTCTCCTGGGCATGGCTTTGCTGTCAGAGGCTCAACAGGGCCCCGAGCGGCTTAGTTCTTCAGGGCGCCTCTTCCTCTGGTCTGAGTGACTGGGATTGACTCCTGGGACTCCTTCCCCGGGACACTCACGTCCCTCCCGAGCCTCCTCCCCTTTGAAAAGCCTCTGCCAAGGGACCGTCTGTTTGTTTTTCCTCCAGAACCCACTCCCCTAAGGCCCAGGGTGCATTTCTGACGGCCTGATGTCCCATCGTAGGCAGCAGCAGCATGTTCTATTGCAAGTAATGAAATCCCAACTGAAGGGGCTAAGCAAAGCCCTTTGTGTTTCACACATGGAAACAATTCTAGGAGACGGTGGCTTCTCACGTTGTACCAGTGGCTCTGCCATGTCAGCCAAGGCTTGTCTCTGATTTCTGTGGCCTTTTCTTGTGTTCACCACTTCATGATGGCAAAGTGGCTGGAAGAGCAATGGAAACCCACACCCAGTTCTCCCTGGGGAATGGGGGCCATGAGGGTGTTCCGGCTGCTCAGTATCGGGGGCCTCTATTGGCCGGCCCAGTTGGTTCAGTCCAGGGACCCAAAGGGCCTTGGTGCTGAGCCAGATGGAGGGGAGATGAGCAGTGAAGGCCCCAGGTGCACTGCCCACAGCAGAGGGGGGCAGGATGTCTTCTCTCTGCTGGACAAGGTCCCCTGGGTGAGCCTGTCGAAGTCAGCTTCATGCACAGGAAGGACTTACTGCTTCTGTCCCCTTGCGGGGGGGGAACGGGGGGAAGGATTTTCTTGCAATGACACCCAGAGACGCAGGGGATAACCCCCCCACCTCCCCCCCCCAACTCTGCGCTCAGACCCTTTCCACCAGCTGGGATGTGCAGAGGGAGGGAGGGCAGCCTTCAGGGATAGAAGCCTTGCTCCATGCCAACAGCACTGCCTGAGCTTTGGGGCCACATGCCAGTTTCCCGGCTTCACAGCCCTGGTCCCTGACCCCTGACCCACAACCCCTGACTATCCCTCGGGCTGTGGATTCACCTCTGGTCCTTTCCCCCAGGGCTGTTACACAGTGATCCTCAACGCCTTCGAAACCTACGTCTACCTGGCCGGAGCCCTCGCCATAGGGGTGCTGGCCATCGAGGTAAGTGAAGGCCCACTTCTGTGGCTCCTCCCCAGAAGCAAGGCACACTGGGGGTTTGGGGAAGACCCCCCATGGGTTAGCCCAGCCGTGGGCAAACTACGGCCCGCGGGCCGGATCCGGCCCGTTTGAAATGAATAAAACTAAAAAAAAAAAGACCGTACCCTTTTATGTAATGATGTTTACTTTGAATTTATATTCACACAAACACTCTATCCATGCTTTTGTTCCGGCCCTCCGGTCCAGTTTAAGAACCCATTGTGGCCCTCGACTCAAAAAGTTTGCCCACCCCTGGGTTAGCCCCTTCCCCTCAGGCTGGGCGGCCCCGTGGGAGGCTGGGGGCCTGGCCTAACTAGCCAACTCCTACTTTCTGTGCAGCTTTTCGCCATGATCTTCGCCATGTGCCTCTTCCGGGGCATCCAGTAGAGGGCGTGGCCTGGAGCCTGAGGAGTCGCCCTGCCCACCACTGCCCAGTACCCAGGCCCTCCTCCCCCCGGCACCTCTGCTCCTGGGTCCAGGGGTAGGAGGTGAGGCCATCGTGAGTGGCCAGGAGAAGGGCCAGGGGAAAATAGCTATTTTTTTAACAAAACAAAATGACGAAAATATGGACTGCTGTGCCCCGCCTGGATTCCAGGGTGGGGCCGTGGGCTCTGCACCCAGGCTGCCGTCTGCACTAGAGACCAAAGGAACACCCGTGCCCGGCTCCCTCCTCGGCCCCACCGGACTCCCGCAGCCCTGGGCCTGGGCCCTCTCCTCACAGCCTCGGGATCTGGTGCCAAGAAAGTGAGGATTTAGGCAACAAGGAGGCAGAAGCAAATCTGGGGGAGAGGTGGGCAGAGCCCAGGGGCCCACGGACACTGGGTCACCACGTCCTTGAGAACCTGGCACCTCCTCGCGGCCCCTCGTCCGGTCAATGGAGTTGTCCCTGCTCCTGCTCCGGCCAACAGTGGGCTGCGGACACTGGACCCGAGAATGGCCCAGCTGGCGGGGTCCTCGCTCTCCCCAGCTGTTGGACCGAGTATCTGGGAGGCCCAGAGTATCACCCACAGTCACACCGCACAGGCGTGACATTCTGAACAAGAACTGGGTGGTCTCCGGGGCTGTCGGTCCAGCAGAGCTGCTTATCTCCCTCCCGGGCCCTGGCATCATGGTTTCCCCAGAAGAGACAGGGCAGCTGGCCAGGAACTGCCTCTTCCCAGTTCCACTGCTAAGATGATTCTAGACTCTCCCTGCCCCCCTCCCCATCCCTGCTGTTTGCCTTCCCAACTCCCCACCTTCTAAGCCCCCAGGAACACACACACACGTACACACACCAGAGTCCCTTTTCCACGCTGCCTGTCTCTGCTCACAAGCCCATCACTTTCCTGTTCTCCACCAACTCCCTGGCTCCCAGCGCTGGAAGGAGCCCCCAAGATCACCCGGTTCTTCTCTCCCCACCCAGAACTGTAGCTTGGATATCTTCTGCAAGATCCCTGCCAAGGCATCTCCACCCTCTTCTTGCACACCTCCAGGGATGGGGACCTCACTACCTCCCAGGACAGCATTCTGCCTTTCGACAGCTGACTTCAGACTTCCCTTTTTCTGTGGTTCTGCCCAAGGCTCTCTCTCCTTTCCGGAGTGTTAAGGCCGCACACTGTCTCCCCCTGCGCCCCGTTATCACCAGGCTAAAGAATTCCAAGGCATCTCATCATTTCTGCTGTGACATCGTTTCCTGCCCCCTCACCATCCACAGCACATTTCTGAGTGCTCCCTCCAGGCTCAGGCAGGAAGAGGTCTTCCCACAGACTCACTGACACTCACACAGCTCCCACAGATCAGCCCCTCAGAACACAGACCTCAGGTTCTAGACCAGTGCTGGCAACTGGATTACAAGATGCCTCAGCCCTGCTGAGTCAGGAGTGGCTGGTGGAGGCTGTGCAGAGGATCTGAGGTTTGGCCTGGGCTTGGTGGGAGAGGGCAGTATAATCCCGATTATATAATCCCGATTGGTGATGTCGGCCCCAGGCGTGGGGGTGGGAAGGGTAGCATGATGCCTGCCTGCCCCTCTTCTCCACTGCCCCTTCAGGGTCTGGGACAAGCCCTGTCTGTCTCCCAGGCCCTGTGCCAGCTTCCAGCCTCCCCTGCTTTCCAACGACTGGGGGAGAGAGCTGCGGCCAGGCGCCCAGTGCTCCCCTGCCCTGCCCCCTGCCCCCTTCTGAGCTACACCAGAACTCTGTGCCTGCTGTAGCAATTTGGTTAGACCTTCCTCCCAACTCTCCGTTCCCCCTCCCACCTTCCTCTCCGCCTGGGTCTTTCACTGTACCAGCCTGCCCTGGCAATCCCATGATGCCACGAGCTCCCTAGCAACTGGGCATCCCAGGATCCAGGGGCCCCACAGCTGGTACCCCAGCCCAGCCTGACAAGGGCCTGGAGCCTGCCCCTCCAAATCCACCTACCACTCATACACAGCCTCCTGGAAAAGGCAGGTGTCCGGTCTGAGGTTGACAAAAAAAAAAAAAAAAAAAAAGAGAAACTCCAGGCTGGGTAGGCAGGACTGGAGGTCAAATCGGGCAGCTGTGGCTCCAGTGCAGGGCAGCCCAGGGGAATCTGGGGCCTCAGAGGTAAGAAGTGCCCATACGCGTGTGAGAGGCAGGTCACGGAGGACCATTGGCTGAGGCAGGGGGGTGAGACTCCCGCCAAGAACTTTCCAGAATGGTGCCAAGGAACCCGAATCTGACCCTGCTGACCTCCCAGGCACCGGCCACCCAGGCTGGAAGGGAACCCGGGATCTGCTCGGGCTGGTAGCTGTTTGCAAGGCTGCCTGTGGCTGTCGGAGGGCAGGGGCTTGGGGCTTGGAAGAAAGCAAGCTCTGCCCCAATATGAGGAGCCTCCTGAGCTCGGCTGTGGTGGTTACAGTATAGCCCATATGTAACAGGTGCTGGTGGCAGCTGCCGGCTGCGGGGGGGGGGGGGGGGGGGGGGGGGCAGCAGGTAGGAGTGCCTCCTCAGGTCAGGGAAGACCTTACACGGGAGCCCAGCACCCTCCCTGCTCCCAAACTACTGCCTCGGGGAGAAGGGACACAGCTTGGGGGCTGGGGCCCAACCACAGCCTCCCTTGCACCCCCTCTCCTGTCCTTGCCTAAGGGGCCCACCTGGAAACCCCCAAGCGAGCTGAGGCCCCAGCACCCACGTCTGCAGAAGCCCCCTCCCCTCCCTCGTGGGCCCCGTCGAAAGTCTATTTTGAAAATGGTAAATGTTCCTCGCAGTAGATAGCAGAGCTAATTTATCATGTTTATTCCCGGGACCCCTTTTATATTATATATCAAGAGTTTTGTAATATAAAACAACACCCACACTGATGGTTTTGCACTGGTTTTTGTGACCGTTTCTTACAAAAAGAAAAAGGAACGAAGAATAAATAGTGACCGTGAAGAAAGGTGGTCTTGATTTGAGGGTGGGCTGGGGCAAAGGGGACCTGGGGGGACTGGGCAGGGGCATTCTGGGTCTCCCCAAATCTTCAGGATGGGAGCTGGGCCTTCCTCACTAGACTTGTGGGTCCCCTTGTCCCTCTCCCCTTTGTCACCGTCTCCTCCCCAAGGACTCCCCCTCACTCTCGCCCTGCGTGCCCCCACCCCCCAAGGCCATGTCTGCCTGCCAGAGCCCCTCCCTCCAGGCCTCACTGGAATGTTCAAACAGCAGGAAGTGCATGGACACTGCCCTCCAGTGGGCCCTCACCACACCCCGTGCCCTGCACCCCGCACCCCAGCTGAGAGTGAAGTAGGTTGGCCAGCTCAGCCCTAGCAGATGCCGAACACAGAGCCCGGCTCCAGAGCCCATACCTCCACTTCCCTGCCTGCCTCTGGAGGGGTCTACCTGCCGGGCCCAGCGGTTATTCGGACAAACCACCACCTGCCGGAGAACCAGCCGGGCCTTCAAAGGCGTGGGCCAGATGGAGGGCCTGGCCTTGGTCTGGGGCACACCCACCAGTCACCAACAGCACCTCCCAAAGTGGGCAGTGGGCAGCCTGCCTAGGGCTCTCCCTGGGGACAGGCACACACGTCAGTGGCAGGAGATGGACGCCAGGAAAGAGCTGGCCCTTCCTTAGGTCTGCTGTCCCTTCGGCTCAGCCGTGGTCACCAGCAGCGTAGCCTTAGGCCCCTGACCCGCCAGACCTCGCTCCTCAGCTGTGCTGGACACTAGGTATGTGGCTGCAGGGACAGCAGCGTGGAGCCCAGTGTGGGCAGGTTCCCAGGCACAGGTCCACCCGGCAGTAGACAGAGCTGGGCTGCACTAAAGACCACCCATCTCGCCCCCAAACACTCTCTGTTCCAAGACAGAAAGCGAGACTGGGCCTGGGCTACTGCTCTCCACACCCGTCCCCAGGACACAGGGCTGGAGAGGACAGTGCTGGGAGGGAGGAGGGAGTACTGGGGGACACACAGGCCGGGGGACGGGGGGGTCTGCAGGGCTGTTCATTCTGAGGGAGCCAGGTGTCCGCCTTCTCCATTTGCGGGGCGGGGGGTGGGGGGCTGGGGGCGTGGAGGGACATGAGAGGAGGTGTCCCGCTGAAATATTTCTATATTTTTCCCCAGCTGAGCTCGAAGGGCACCCAGTCTTATCCTGCTAGACCCTGGGGGCAGCCCAGGCTGGAGGTCCAGAGGGCAACACCCTGGGGAGGGGGGGAGGGGAGGGGAGGAGAGGGGCTAAGCCGGGTGAGCATTAGACCCTGGAGAACATGCCAAGTTCAAGGCTTTTCTTCTCATCTCCAAGCCCCATCACCTACAGGTGGATCTCTGTGTCCACGTCAGGCCAGCCTGTGGGTGAGGCCTCTGGCAGCCTCTGCACCCAGGCAGGTTGGGTGAGGGGGGGCTCCTAGGAGGCCCCAGGAGCTGGGGTGGAGGCAGAGCAGCCTGGATCGAGGCCCCGGAGAGCCTGTGGTGGCCGGGACAGGGCTCTGCTGCCGTGGCCTTCCTGTGAGGTCGGCAAATGCCAGCTCAAAGACAGCCACCCCCACCTGTCGGCCTGCGGCTGGGCTGTGGGGAGATTAGGTGCCTGTGTTTAGGGGTGGAGAGGGGCCCCCACATGTGGGAGGGCCCACAAGGAGTAGGGGCACAAGGTCAAGTTCTTGGGTTTTCCAGCTGCCTGGGCACTCGATTGGCTGGGGGTAAAGGGGGAGGACAAGGAGGCAGCCCACAGCCTCTCTCAAAAGAAAGAGCGTCCGGCAGAAGGGGTAGGACCTCGCCTCAGCCCGATACCCCGTGATGCAGGCTCTTCAGTCCGTGTCTGTCCAGGGGATCCGAGACCAAGAGGCTCAAGAAAAGAGGTGTCATTGTGTGGGGCAAAGAACAGGGTGCAGAGGCCCTGTCCCTCCTCAAACCTGAAAGCCCTGATCACAGCATTCGGGGAGAGCCCGGGAGGAGGAAGGGGGCCGCTCCTGTCTGCCTGGGGCAGGGCAGGGTCCTTCCTGCCTTCCATGAACCAAAGGGAAACTGAGGCCCCGGGCCTCCTTGCCCAAGAAGGGCCCCAGCCCAGTGGTCATTTAAACTTTCTTGGGTTTTCGGCCGACTTGGTAATAGTAGTAAACGCTGATGGCGACAAAAAGGAGGCGGCTGGCCAGGAGCAGCAGAATCCCCAGGGACATGAGGCCGGTCTCGGCTAGCGTGGCAGTGACCACTGTGGGAGAAAGGCCAGGAAGGAACAGAGGTCAGAGGGCTGTGCCCTCACCCCGCCACAGGACGGCAGGCTGATCCCTGAGCTGGGGGTCCTGCCAGCTGGCTGACCCCACAGACACGTCTGTTCTGATGTCCCCCACGCGGCAGCAGCAGGAACTGAGGTTTGCATGCGGGCAAAGCCCGTGTGTGCTGTCACCCCAGTGCCAGGGTGCGGGAGGCTGTGGAGATGCCTGAGTGTGTATTCAGAAGACACAGGTAGGTGTCCGTTGCGTGAGCACAGGTGTGCAGGCACACAGGTAAACACAGCTGCAGGGGGGCCTCCTCCTTAGCCAGGTTTCCATCACTTCCTAGAAACCTCAGTGGCAAGAGCTGGGAGGTGGGGGAAAAGCTGCCCTGCCCACCCTGCCGTCAGCCAGCCTCCCCTCCCTGCCCACCTCAGGACTCACCCAAGAACTGGACCCCGAAGTAGCAGGCCTCGGTGAGTAGAGTCCAGCGAATGATAACCTTCTCGGCCGTGTAGAGAGCGTTCCACATGATCAGAGAGATACCTGGGCAGGGGTAAAGAGGGGTTGGGGGCAGGACAGCCCGACCCACCTACCCATTTGGGGCAGGGGCAAGGGGCCTGTTCCTTGTCCCTTTGGCCCTACATGGCAAGGGAGCCCGGATCCTGTACATCCACATCTCCTACCCTCACACATTTCCTCAAATTAAAACTCATCACACCGTGGGACACGGGGCAAGTCACATCTCCTCGCTGGGACTCAGTCTTTTCATCTGTAAAATGGGAGACCTGAGCTCTAGGTACCCTGCCCCTATCAGGTTCTGTTGTGATTCTGGGTTGATGGGCTGTCTGGTCCTACAGTCACATTTTCTTTTCAAATCGACTGCTGGAGACAGAAAACCTGAGTCCATGAAGGTCTCTCTCTAAGGAATTCCCAGGGGTGGGGATGGGGGTGGGGGGAGGCAGACCATATTCCCAGGAAGAACCACCTACTTAGCCTCTACCAGGCCAAGCTTACAGTGTTTATTTTGCCTGCTTCCCTAGACTGTGAGGCCCTGGAGGGCAGGGCCCTGGTCTCATTCATCTCTGCACCCCAGTGCCCAGGTGGTGCACTACCAGCAAGCGCTCAGTAAATGCTGGTCCAGAAGATGGCAGAGCCCCAAACCACTGGGTGCATTTTCTATCAGTGGCCACAAGATGGCAGCATACACCCAGCAGAGACAGACAGCAGCTGAAGCGGGGCTCTGGGAAGGGAAGCCTCTGCACAGAGGAAGACTCCCCAGGTTTCCCTCCATCCCAGTTGGGACCCCAGCTTCCCATCACCTCCCCTAGAGTCCTCCCCAGCAATACTCACTGAGGAGCGCACCCCCATAGAGGCGGATGGGGGTCTTGCTGGTCACCTGAGCTCCATCAAAGACGGCGTCATAGAGCTGGTCGGGGAAGGCCAGGGCCTGGGGACAGCAGTTGGGAGGCTCAGGGGGAGGGGGACATTGTGAAAACTCCCTGGACATCTTCCCCCAGGAAGTGGGCCAGGGTCCCTGGGACAGTCTGGGGTCAGGACCTTAACTGCCCCCCAACCCCTTCATGCCAGGACGGAAGGCCCTGGGGTTGCCAGGGGCAAGGGGTTGCCAGGAACAAGGTGTTGGGACCATGGCCACGGATCCAGGATGCTGCGGGGCAGGCAGGCACAGGTGGGATGTGTCAGGAGCCAGGACATGGAGGCAGCCAGCGAGCCTTGACAGATGGGGCCTCATGGAGGCCATGGGGTGAGGAGAGGCAGCAGGGGGCCCTGGGCAGGGAGGAGCCCCTCGCAGAGGCCCAGGTTTCTGGGGTGGGGGGGTGGGGGGCTCACCATGACGGCAATGCCAGAGAAGAGCACAGCAGAAACAAACTGCCAGACCCTGGGAAGGCACCAATAGGAAGGTCACAGCCAACCCCTGGCCCCCACCCCAGGCCCCAGGGGATACCCCTCTCCAGCCAAGGTGCCCAGGGATGGCTGGTTTGGGGGGAGGGAATGAGCTGGGATGAAATCCAGGGCAAGACCAGTGGGGCAAGGCTGATGAGACGGGGTCTTACACAGCTCCTCCCTATAACACACACGAATGCTCACCTCAGTCCCAAAGGCTCCCGAACAGCAAACTTGATTTCATTGCCCAAGACCTGGCTGATCTGTGAACACAGAGGGGAGGGGTCAGAGGCAACCAGGGGGAAGGCATGCCCAGGCCACTCAACCCCCCAGGCCCCCTCTCCCGGCCTGCTCAGGAGCCCACCTGGTACCTATGCTTAGCCAAATGGCCACCCAGGCTGGAAGGTCCCACTGAGGCCACCCACTGCCTCCCTGACACCAGAGATTAAGGGAAGCTGAAAAGACAGTGGCGGAGAAGGAATGCTCGGGGGTCTGCCAGACGTGGGCTTGAAGCCCGGCTCCTCTGCCACTTCCTGGTGTGGCCTTGGACAAATCACTAACCTCTCTGAGCCTCAGTTTCCTCATCTATACAATGGGCTGATGCCTGTATCTGCATCTTCCAGGACTAGCAAGATGAAATAATGCTTCTAAAACAGCGGTATACTAACAGGCATATAATAAGCACTCAAGCCTAATTATCAGTTTTGTTATTATTCCCCTGACATCTCCATTAAGTCTCTAGAAAAACGAGCTAAGTCTCAGGGCTCCTGCAGCTCTGTGGGTCTCGGCTAGTCTTCTTGGAAAGTGGTGGCCAGACCCGCCCCCACCAGGTCCTCAGAGGCAGACCCCACCTTGGAGCGGTGCACCTCCCCGTCGTCATCCTCGCCGCCCACTCCAAGGATCTTGCGGGTCTTCAGGCGGCTCACGAGGTCCGTCTGGCTGTGCTTCTTCATGAGAGGCGGGGGCTGCTTGGCCGCCATCTTGTCCTGGAGCCCGGCCTCTGCGGAAGGGCTGCAGGGGGACACGGGCCTCAGGCCCTGGGTCCCAGCTGCCAGACCTCAGGGGGCAGCCTGACCCAGCCCAGGGCCTGCGGAGGCTGGGGCCCAGGCTCCCCAGTGAACTCCTGCCCAGACAATTCCTGCTGCCCAGCAAGCCCTCCCCGCTGCATACCTTCTGGGCTCAAGGCAGGGGAAGGAGCTGGCATAGGACCCGGCTGAGCCAGAGGAAGGATGGCCACGGAATGGGCAGGGCTTCAGACAATCCAGGCCTCTCCCCTCCCTGCCATCAGCACCCATCACCAGCCTCCCCCCTGCCCCCCCGCCCGCCCCACATGTCTGCCCATGACTTCCCCCAGGCCCCAGGCCCCAGGCCCCGGCCAGCTCCCAGCTCCGCCTTGGGCTAGGTCTTAAACACCTACTGTGTGCCAGGCACCGTGCAGGGCAAGGGAGACGCAGAGATGAGTTGAGTGCCCGTTCTCGCCTTCTGTCAGCACAACACCTACACAGACGAGACAGGAGTGAGAACCACAGTGAAGCAAAGGCTTCCAGAAGCTGGCCCTGGGGTGGCGTGAGGCTCCTCTAAACGCAGCCACTCCGCCCTGCAAGATGGGTGCTGTTTACACCCCTTCCTCAGATGAGAAAACCCAAGTTCAATGAAGCTCAACCAAGTTCAATGAGGTTCAACAGAGACCAGCAGTGGGTGCCACCCATATTCCAACATCTCATTGCCACCCACGGCCACCCTCTGGGAAGGCAGGGCCATCACCCCGTTCACAGACAAGGCTCAGCCGGGAACCTGGGCTGGACTGGCCGGCCTCCCCAACCGGGCCTCCGACCCAGGTCTTAGTGCTGGGTGGCCCCAGGCAAGCCTCGCTGACCAGGGCTGCCAAAGGCAGAGAGCAGAGATGTCCCTAGGTCCCCTCCAGTTTCCCAGCCCCCCCCTCCCCACCCCCCTGTGTCTTAAAGCAAAATGAAGCACCCAGCAAATAAACATCAGATCGGAGAATCAGACTGTGGGGCGATCTGATAATGAGGCTGTAGGCTTAGATACACTGGGCAGGACGCACCAGCTAGAGTTTGGAAAGGAGGGCAAAATCCGGCTGGGAGGTCTCCAGTGAGTGCGATGTCCCTGGCGATAGCCCGCCTAAGCTCCCCAGCCCCACCCTCATCTGTCAACTGGGGGCAGGTATGCCTTCCCCTCCCCCACACACACCTGGGGGCACCAGAAGGCAGCGCAGTGCCCCATGCCTGTAGGCGGGAGGCAGCCAGTCCCGCTGGGGGAGCCAGGGCTTAATCACACTGCTCCTCGGGGACCCAGGAGCTGTCACAACACCTCAGCCACTTGCCACCACCTCCCCGTGAATCCAGATAGAAGCTGTAATCAGCTTGGCATCCCTCCCACGGCCAGGCGGGCCTGAGAGCCACTGCACAGTAGTATTTATTCCATGGGACGGATGTACCAGTGTCATTATCGTCACTCACCAAGGAACAACTGGGTTGATTCCAGAGTTTGATGACTGTGAACAAAGCTGCTATAAACATCCACATACAGGCTTAGTGCAACCATAAGTTTTCATTTCTCTAAGGTAAATACTGAGTTATACGGTACCTCTCCATTTTGCTCTAGGAGAACTCGCCAAACTGCATCCACAACGGCAGCCCATTTGCATCCCCCACAATGCATGAGCATTCCAGTTTCTCTCCCCATCCTGCCAGCACCAGGCATGGTCAGTCTTCCAACCGGTCTCCCTGTATTTTAACCCTCTCTCACTGGCTGGCCATGCTGTCTGACTCAGTCTTTACTGGTTGTGTGACTTGGGCAAGTCTCCTCACTTCTCTGAGCCTCAGTTTTCCCCATCTGTGAAATGGAGCTATACTACTTCCCACCTCCTAAAGATTTAACAGCAAAAAGAGAAGCTTGGTCAGAGCACACAGTGCAGCCCCTGCACATTTAAATGAAGAAACTGCAGTCAGTGAGGATGTGCTGTGAGGCAGGTATAGGATGGTGGCCCAGGACCCCTGCCTGAGTGGGGGCAGGGGGGCGGGGGCTGATCTGTCAGCCATCAGTCAGAGCAAGTTACTTCTCTGAGCCCCGATGTTCTCATCTGTGAAATGGAAACCCTTACCTTTCCCCTAGGGCTGGGCTAAGGAGAAACAGCATGAGGACAGGAAGCGCTTCAGGAAGGGCCAGCTTGCTGCAGAAGGCCTAACGGTTAAGAGCTTAACTGCTGAAGTCATACCTGAGTTCAAATCCTGTCCAGCACTTCTTAGCCGTGTGCCTGTGGGCAAGTCACTTAATCTCTCTGTGCCTCAGCGCGCCCCCGCCCCCCACCTGTACTTGGGGAAATAAAGGGTCCTACCTTCAAGGGATGCTGTGAGAACACAGGCTATCGTTGTGAAGTACGTAGGGCAGTGTGTCTGGCCCCTGGAAAGTGCTCGATGGAGCTGGGCACTTGGACACTCCGGCCCCACCCTGGCTCCCCATGCAGCAGTGGCTCTGGGACGGAGGCCAGGGAAAATCAGAAGGGCCTCACTAGCATTTGCTAACATCTCCCTCCGTTGGGCAAAGCCCCAGACCTCAGTCCCATGGCATGAGGCTGACTCTCAAGCCCCAGCCCCCAGGCCTGGGCTGTGTCAGTGACTCCAGCTCCTCTGCCCAATGTCCTCCCCCAGCAACACACAAAGCTCCCGTCTGCCACACAGGCCGGAGCCATAAATCAAAGACGGTGAGGCGTGGCAGGGCCAGCCTACTGGGGCTGGGTGTAAAGGGGCTCCGTCTGACACTGGCATCACTCATAGGTGGGACCAGCTTTATCCACAGGCACTGCCACCGGGGACCTGGGCGGGCGGGACCCACTGCAGCCACCCGCCCCAGAGCCCAGCCCCAGCACGGAGCTCACCACCAACAAAGAAAGGGCCCTGGCACCTCCCAGGGAGAGCAAGAGCTTGAACTTGATCTCCAGGGAGTGGCCCCTGCACCTGCCTCTAGTTAACTTCTTGAGCACTGAGTTCCGTCCCATCTTCACCTGCAGGACCGGGCGCTGCCTGGGGAGGTAGGTGAGCAGCTGCACCACTCCTGTATACCCATCAGCCTTAGGCATGCCCACTCCCAAGGCAACCCTTGAACTTCCCTCCCTATTAGAGGCCATTCTGTGTATTTATTTTAGGCCTGGCCTCACTTTAACCTAAGAGAGGACAGAGGGCACCTCCTTCCGATCCTCTTCCTCCACTCAGGCTGGACACTGGCTTGGGGCAGCCAGACCTGGGTTTAAATCCCGGGTCTGCTCTCCTACAGGCGCAGGGCTTTGGGCAAGTCGTGCAGTCTCAGTGTTGACCCTGAGCAATGGGGGTAATGGGAAGGCCCACCCTGCAGAAGTGCTGGCGGACAGAGGGCGTGCCGTGCGGGCAGTGCCTGCAGCAAGGCACCCTGCCCGCGACAGACAGGCCCACGCTCCTGACTTCCCTCTCCCTTCACTCGGCCGCGCACGATGGAAAAAGCCTGCCTGGCAGGGCTGTCACGCTTCCTTTCCCAGATCCAGTCTGAAGGGCCCCAGGGCTCCCCCGGATGCCAGGCTTCCCCAGCACCAGAGGAAGGTGGGGAGGAGGGCTGCCCCTCCATCTACACGCTCACTTGGGGGGATCTGCTAAGCAAGAAGGGAGACTGTGGCTTGCAGGCCCCAGCCCTGAGTTCATGACCCTCTGCATTCTGCCCTTGGACAGCTGCTTTGACCTCGATTCCCAATAAAGCTGGGAAGTCGCTCCTTTTAATAGCTGTTTCCACTTCTGAGCCACTGCTCAGCCAGGAGGCCCCCTCCTGCCCTCCAACCCCCCTCCCACCCCATCTTCCTTGTTCCTCCTCCCAGGGCCCTGCCCTTCCTCCTCTGGGCTCATGGGTCCATACTCCCAGTCATGTCACGGGCAGTTGGCCTTCTGAGATTTAGTGAGCTGAGGCAGGGCTGGTATTGTGCCCATCTGAGAGTGTCCCTGCTGCACCCTGGCACGCAGTAGGCACTTTGTCAGCACAGACAAACGAGACAGGCTAAGAGAAGCAGATCTCACTGCCCACCCAGGACACTCAGGATCACACAGGGCCCAAGGGGGCCTCAGCTCCAAACACACAGGGCAGAAAGCTGAGGCGGAGGGGACAGGACCTGCCCCAGGCCACACATGAGCCGGTGGCAGAGGAGGGCAGGAAGGGGGCTTTGCAGTCAGGCAGGGCTGGGCTTCAATTTGCTACTGGGCAGGTGGCCTTGGGCAAGGGCTCCCTAGGGTGCTGAGGACCCCAGGAGAGGGTGCAAACACCAGAGGGCCTGGCAGATGGGTGCCAGGACGTGGTGGGGTCAGAGGACTGGGTGAGAAAGCTGCCTCAGAAAGCTGCAGCCGGCACTGGGAGGGGACTGCCAAGGGGCGGGGTGTCAACAGGGCCTGGGACAGTTCCGGGCACATGGGCTCAGCATCTATTTCTGGTAAGTTAGTGAGATGGGAGTGGGGTTGAGAGGCCCCTGCTGGCCAAGGTCTGACTGGTAGCAGCCCATCCCCACCCCCCTGCCTCCTGTGCTTGACATCTGAGGCCAGGGGAGAACATCCCCAAAGAGCTCCCCGTGGCAGCAAGACAGAGGGGCCAGGACTGGGCAGAGGCCAAGCAAAGCCCCCAGAGGCGGAACCAGCAGGAAGGGAGGGCGCAGCGGTGGTAAAGGTGTCAGAGGCGGATGACAGAGTGGGGTGGGGAGGGGCATCTACTTCACGACTGGTAAACTTGGGTTCAAACCTCAATGCTTTATCTCAATTAGGCAGTAACCTCAGAAAAGTTTCTTAACCTCTCTGAGCCTCTATTTCCTCCTCGAGAAACCACACTGCTCCTTCTCAGCTCGCAGGGCTGTGACGAGGCACACGGAGCAGGCAGTGGAGGGCCTGGCACGGGCTATGTGCCAAGTGAAGGACAGCAATTAGTAAGGCTACCGGGCGGCTGCCCAGGCCCTGCTCCTGCCGCAGAGCAGATGGGCTGGGGCATCGTTCTGCCAGTCCTAGAGGACCTCTCCCAACCCCCGTCCCCGGAAGCTGGGTTTCCATAGAAACGGCTGGACTACGGAGCTGTCCCCATCGTGGAACCTGACTGGCAGGGGGAGGGGAAGGAGAGGAAGGGGCCTGGGCCTCAGAACACCCACCACCTGTGATTCAAAGGGGAGTTGATGCTGCTGTGTCTGCCAAGAACCACTTCCTTGCAAACAAGAGCCCCTGCTGGCAGCGGGACACACCTGTCCTCCCATCTGGTAAGGAGAACGGTCCCCTGGGCATCCACCCTGGGGCTGGAGGGGGCGAAAGTACTTCCAGACAAGGAACTCCCTGTAACCACAACCACGCCCTCTGAGACTGGGGTACTATCACCCCCATTTCACAGGAATGAAGGCCAAAGTGTCTCCTGGGGTAAGTGGCAGAGTTGAAATTCAAACCAAATTAACTGGCCATCCTGAGAGGAGTTGGGGAGCACGTCTGTGGGAG